GGAGTAGATCCTCATTCAGGTCCTGCACACCTTAAATCAGAGGCCTGAGTCCCAACCAATGAGCAGAGCTGGTTTAAACAGAGCTCCTCCTGTACTCCCATTCCCACCAACTGTGCAGCAGCTCTTTGTTTTCTCACAGTGGAGCAGTGATGTGAGGGCACCGATAAATCGCTCTAACACATGATGTCATTAATCAACATTAAACATGTGTTTGCATTTTGGTTTCAAGCCATGATTTATTCAGAATTCAAACAGTACTACAAGTAATTCATGAGGGCCTTTGGGTGACAGGTTTTGTTTATTTACCACTTTTTCAACACCTGTAGAAAGAACATGATGCATGTTAAGATAATCAAAAACTTGTTGATAAAGCTCTCACAGCATCTCGCCATAACCATCGAACAGCATGTGATTGGTGGATTTATTAAAGTGAGGACGGGTCTGGTAATAACAGATAAAGATGCTACACCAGCCCTTGGTGGACTGCAGCTCACCTTTCGGAAGCTAGATTGGGGATGTTGAACACCTTTCTGGTGGGGAAGAAGCCTGAGTTGGTGTGTGAGGCTGAGAGGTTCCAGCATGAAAATAGTCAGACAGAGTTTTGTTTTTGTTTTTTTGTAACCATCTTTCTCTCAGAGCAATAAAGTTAGAGATTTAAATCACTGGGGGAACCAGGACCTTTCTGCCAGAGGGTTCTGGGTTGGAGTCCCCGGGGGAACCAGGACCAGAGGGTTCTGGGTTGGAGTCCCGGGGGAACCAGGACCTTTCTGGGTGGAGTCTGCATGTTCTCCTGTGTCTGTGGGTTCTCTCCGGGTTCTCCGGCTTCCTCCCACCGTCCAAAAACCTGCAGGTTATGTTGGTTGGACTCCAAACTGCCCTTATTGTGAGTGTGTGTGTATCTCTGTGATGGACTGACCTATCCATTTTAAAACTTTCTTCTTGAATCTCTGCGAAAAAGTCCAGGAAGTCCAGGAGTGCGGTGAAAGCCCTTTGAGGAATAAGCAGTATAGAAAATGTATGGATGGGTCATTGTTTCCTTGTTCCCAGTCTTATAAGAGTTCCCTCTGTTTGTGTCTTCTTCTGATTCTTTTCTATTCTGTCAGTAAAAAATGCCATTTCTGTTAGCTGCTGACTAACTGAGCTTTGTGTGTGATGCAGAAACAGCTGAGCCATCAGCAGGTGGCAGCACAGGCTGACAGACGGGACACAGAACAAGAACACAACAACCTCAGTGTGGAGCAAAAATATAAACATTTGTTCAAACAGACTGGAGACGTTCTGGAGAGCGTAGAAATGTTCTGTGCTGCACTTGAACATATTGTTGATTTCTGGTCAGTTTTCAGAGAAGCTGCTGGTCCTGGTTTTAACTGTGTGCTCAGGTTTCTGGTTCCAGATAACTGCAGCAGCAACAGCCTCCACCTACTGCCACCGTGTGGTCAGAGTTCATCTATTTATTAAGTCTTTCTCAGCTTTAGAGACCAGAAATGGAGGAAACTTCTAAAAACTAAAATACAGACGTAATTACAGCTAGAAACAGATTAATGTTTAGCAAAGAGCTGTTGGATTGATATTTTTTTGCCTGCATATATCTTTTGGTATCATCACTCATCTATTTCCTGTTTTCTGATGTGTCTCAACAGCTGACGGATCATAGTTCTACAATAGCTCACAAATCATTTCTGGGAACATCTTCTCATAAAATGAATCCTAAACTGATGTTTCTAAGTTCTGTAAATAGTCAAACAGAGAAAGTCCTACCTGAGTTACCCATCAGTCAGTAAGTGTGGTGGTTTAGTGTTAAACAGCAGGAAGGTGGAGGAACACCATCATGATATCAGAGATCCTCCCACTTTAAGGTCAGATGACTTCAGAGAAACAAAACAGTTTGTCTCTTTTGGACTTCAATAACCTTCAGTTGTTATCAGGTTTCTGTTCGACAGGTTTGTTGCTATTTAAAGAAGCTGCTCCTGAATCTGTTTATCTGAGAGAAACTGACTTTATCTACATTTCACGCTTTGTGTGAATGTTGGATTGTAGATCTATTATTCATTTGTCAAAACCGTAAATGTGCACAGTAACAACAAACCACAGCTCTCACGGAAGTGATGAGTGACACACCTAGTGTTCCTTTTCTTAGTTTCCCTTTTCATCTTTTGTTCAATTTGTTGCAGAACAACAGCAGCATCATGTATTCATAAAACGTTTACAAGACATAAACAGCAAACAAGCAAAAATTCTCAATGAAAGAGTTCTGTCAGAAATTCAGTTGATCTGCTCTGGTCCTAGTTTCAAGTTCAGACATCACACAGTTGGATCAGTTGGACAATTTGGGACATACATTTTCTTCCTCCAAACCTTAACACCGTCACATTCACCTGTATTCTTTGGTTGCTCTCTTTCTGATGGTGCAACTGGCTGGTGAATAGAGGCTCATTCGAAATTCATAAAGGAAACTGCTCCCTCAGTCAGACGCTGGATCGTCTCTCACCATAACCAGTGGGTTAGGGCAAGGGTTCCTGTCCCTTTCAGGGGTTGGGGTTAGGGTTAGTCCCTTGTACAGAGTGACCCCTGGTTTGTCATTTCCACTCTACTGTCTCAGTGTGTGGTGGAAGATGACTTTTCCTGGAAACCATCCCCAAGTTGCATAGCTGCGCTGGTTAAGAATATAGATTATATCTAGAGAGAATACAGTCCTGGTATGCTGCCATCACAGGCGTGCTCTCTCAGTCCAGAGAGAGACTTCAGACAGATCATTATCTACGCTATGAACTTATGAACTGGTTATCTCTGTCATTGCAGATTCTTCTTACATACCAACATGAACTACTTGATCACGGTAGATGTATTTTAGACTCGGAGCCTACCCCAAAGGTGGGTCACCCTGGACAAGTCAGTTCATCACAAAGACACAAGCTACTAGTCACTACTAGGGGGTACTTAGTGTCTAGTTAACCTAAGATGCAGGTTTTTTGGTCGATAGGAGGAAGCTGGAGAGCCCACACAGCCATGGGGAGGTCCTGGTTCCCCCCGGGACTCAAACTATGGTTTTGCTCCAGGCAGGGCATGTTTTGTCTGCCTTAAGTCCTCTCCAGATCACGGGCTTTCAGACCAGATTCTGTATGTGGTGGCTGTATTTCCAGTCTTTAAACGTCTCATTCTGTATGTAGAGCTTAAAACTCCAAGAAACAGCGGTCAATAAAATTACAATAAAACTCTGCTGACTGAATAAGAATATGAAACTGAGTGAGTGTTCTTAGGAGGGCGGGGACAGAGGAAAGTGAGTTTATTGAGGAAAACCTACTGATGATCAGGTTAGTTCTGGGGAGGATTTTGCTACGGAAACAGACACAGAGTAAAAGAAACTTCTCTGATATCAGACTGAACAAATCAAATCACAATCAGTGAGGCGGTTACAGTGTGGAGGAGCTTTTTAATGAGAAAATAACAGCAGCTCATCAAACAGCATCTGGACTCATCAGGTCCATCATGTGGACACAAAGTGAGGTCTGGTTCCAGTATCCGTCTGCAGGTTGGACATGTTCCCCCTCTGCAGGACGCTGCCCTGACGCTGAGCTCCCAAACAGGAGCAGCTGCTCCCAACGAGCTGCTTCTGAGGAGGAACTCCAGAGCTCTGCAGCAGCTGAGTGTTGCTGCAGAGCTGCTGGATTCAGTCCCAGCAGACAGAGCTCAGAGGGCTGTTTCTGTTCGGGGCTTCTTCCTGCTGGACTCATGTCCTCCCTTCTCCTTTACTCCTCCCTCCTGTTTCCTCTCCTCTGTTCCTCCTCCTTCCTCTTTGATTTCCCTTCTACCTCCTCTTTCTCCTCCTTTCCTCCTCCTTCCTGTTTCTTCTACTCATTTCTTCCAACCTCCTTTTCCTCCTCCTTTTGTCCCCCCTCCGCTTTCTTCACCGTTCCTTCTACCTTCCTTTCTTGTTCTCCCTCTTCACTCTTCTCCTCCTTTATTCTTCCCTGTTGTTCCTCCTCCCTCTTCCTCTCCTTCTTTCCCTCTTCGCTCCTTTATTTGCTTTTCTAATACATCCTTTTTCTTCTTCTTACCTCTTCCCTCCTTTTTCCTCTCCTCCTTTTCTCCCCTCTCAGTCCCTCTTTTCTCCCCTCCTTTTGACCATTTTTCCTCTACTTTTTTTCTTATTTCTCTAACAGCTTGGTCGTTCTTCTCACATCTCAGTAAGCCTCCTTCAGTCCTGTGAAAGAGAACTTCCACATCAAGCTGAACATGTTCATATTTTTCCTTCCAATTCTTCCTTGTTGTTGTAAAGTCGATGTCTCTTTTGTGGTGCATCACAACAAGAATCACAGGTTTATCACCAGCTGATTCTGAGATTAAAGCAGAGAAAAATAAAGTTAGCAATTAACTGTAAAGGCTCAGGGAGGATGATTATAAGGACATTATTCTTATTCTATTCTTTAAACACGGCAAAGCTATTCAGTAGTTCTAAAAAAGGTTGAGCATTTGGATGTGAAGCACTTGGTTTTACAGTATATTTATTTCACAGAAATCCTATAGTCAAACCGAATCACATGTTGATGATATAAATGTTTTTAAATAAAGTTTTCATATTACCTGGGATTTGTTCCATTGCAGCCTTCACATCAGACTCTATGCGAGTGTTGATGGTACAGAACACAAAAATAATCTGACATTCATCCAGATCTGCTTCTTTTAGATGGAAATGAGGAGATTTATTGAGTTGATCCAGCAGCTGCTGATCAGCACCAAAGGAAGCTCCATTAGACACTCTGGAGAAAGTAACTGTTTTTTCATCTGAAGGACAGAAAAAGAAAAGCAGGTGAATGAACCAATCTGACTGATTCATTGTGTCATTTACTAATGTTCCCTCATGTTTTAAGTCTCTATTCCACTCAGTGTGTTGGAGTAGATCCTCATTCAGGTCCTGCACACCTTAAATCAGAGGCCTCCTGAGTCCCAACCAATGAGCAGAGCTGGTTTAACCAGAGATCCTCCTGTACTCCCATTCCCACCAGCTGTGCAGCAGCTCTTTGTTTTCTTACAGTGGAGCAGTGATGTGAGGGCACCGATAAATGGTTCTTATTCTAACACATGATGACATTGATCAACATTAAAGGTGTGTGTACCTTTGATGCCATGTTTTATGCAGAATTGTAACAGCACCAGAAGTAATTTGTGATGGCCTTTGGGTGACATGTTTTCTTCATCTACCACATTTTTAACTTCTGTAGAAAGAACATAATGCATGTTAAAAGAATAATAAACTTGTTAATCATGCTCTCAGTGTCTCATCAGTGTCTTTAAAGCCCTTTTTGCTGGTCAGTATATTCCATTAGGATGAATCAGCCGATCCAAAACACAGCAGCTGGCCTGCTGAACGCCACCAATAGGAGCCACATCTCTCCAGTCTTAACCTAACAGGCTCCCTGTAAACTCCAGGACAGACTTCATTCTGGCAGCAAAACTCACGTCTGAATGCCTGAAGGAACCCACTATTCCCTATCACCCCACAGCATCACTCTGCTCTCAGCATGCTAAGCTCAGATCTATCCCACAAGTAACCCAGAAGTATCTCCAGGCTTCCCTCCTTTGGGGGTGCCATTTTTTTCAATTGAAAAGAAAAACTTTTCTCTTTGAATGGCCTGTTCTTTTTGGCTGAGTTGTTTTAATGTGCTTTTGATTTATCATGTTATTTGAATATAGCACTGCCTTTTTCTTTTTACTTACAACTATTTATTTATTTACTTTTACTTTCAAGTTTTGTTGTCATTTGAATTCTTGATGTAAACCATGTTTTTTCCCCATTTATTTTTAAAGCACTTTGTGGTACCCCTCCTTAGGCTGCCTTTGTAGTGAAGGGGTTTGATCACAGGGGCTATGTTGTCTGGGGCTCTAAGCTCCTGGTAAGGTCACCCGAGGCAAACTGTTCCTGGGAGATGGATCAGACGAGGGTCATAAGGCCCCTTAAAACTAACCCTAACCCTAACCCTAATGGACCAAGTGCTCCCTCACCCGGACGGGGGTCATCCGAGGCCCCACTCTGGAGCCGGGCCTGGAGGTGGGGCACACTGGTGAGCGCCAGGTGGCCACACTCAGCCCAAAAAGGTCACATGTGTGCCCCTTCACCCGGGACTCCAACCCAGAACCTTCTTGCTGTGAGGCGGCGGTGCTAACCACCACACCACCATGTTGCCCCAATTCTGTAATAAATATGTATAATTAACCAAATTCTGTGCATATTAAATCTGATGCAGGTGATGGCAGCTGTAAACCTGAGAGTTCACTGTGTGACTCAATCCAGCTCCAGTAGTATTTAAGTCAGTCACTGAACAGGCTGATGAGGCAGAAAGCTTCTCTCTGTTCCTCAGAGGAGCAGAGAGGCTAGAATGAACTGATCATGACGATACCTTCAAACAGATCCTGTGGCAGACGACCTCTCAGTCTCTCTATGTCTGCATGGGCCTTCAGGTGAGACAGGGAACAAGGGTTTAAATTCAGAAACATAAAGGGTTAATCATTTTGTACGTTATACGGTCAAGAAAGTGTGTTTTTTGTTATTGTTGATTCGTCCTTCATGTTCACCCTTTGTTTCTATCTTAGTTTTCCTCCCTGGTTTCTGTTTTAGGTCCTGTCTTTTATCAACCCCTCAGGTCTGGTTTTCAGCTCCAATTCTTCCTGTGGTCTTTTCTGCTGCCTTTAGGTATATCAGACCCCCGCCCCCCCCAGAGAAACCAGTCTGGGTTTAGGAAGCTGAACCTGGTTATGGCTGACAACAGGAACCTCGGAAACCTTCAGAAATATCTGCTGGGCTCCCGTTTTATTGTGTCAAGATGAATTGAACTCATTTGAAGTTCAATCCTGCAACACCACATGTTTTATGTCCGACGCAAATGGTTTTCTTTTACATAGTTAATGGTAAAAACTTTGCCCCAAACCCTTTTGCACACAGTCAGATAAACTTGACAGCAGCAGGCAGAAGACTGCAGACAGTTTTTTTACTTATCACACAGTTCTGAATATTCCAAAATATTTATATTAAAAATATTCACAAAATATTTTCAAAAAATATTCAAACATTATTTCCATTTCTTTTACATAAAGAACCAAATAAAGAAATCAAACTAAAATATTGACCATTTTGTATATTTACTCGGATCAGGATTTAAAGGGTTAATGGACTTGAATTGATTAGATTTTAATTCATTACAACAGATTATATTCTAATTTGCTTGGATGGAACAACATGTTTGGATTGCCTGAAATTAAATCTGCCGTGATTAGGAGTTTTATGAATGAATTAGACTTTGGAGTGGCTCTAAAAAGTTTTAATGTAAAAAATTATTGAGCGTGGATTTATTCTCACATCTGGATCCTGTGGAACTGTTTTCTCCTCAAACGGATGAGGAGCACTGGAGATAGATTCATCTGTAATGTAGGACAAGAAGCAAAATGAAGTGAAATATTTACTGGATACAAATATTTGTTTCATGCATTATCGCCAGTGAACTAAACAGAGATTCAGAAATTGAGGCTTCTTGGTTTTTGTGAGTGGTTTCTCTTTGTTCTGGTTAAAAATTGTAGATGTGTATTGTATATGGACTTTTTTTAAGTTTCCTTATGTTCTCACTTCCTGTTTGCTTTGTTGATAAATAAAAAGGTTTTATGAGAAGTTTGCATGTTCTACAGTATGTGTCTGTGAGTTTTCTGGCTTCCTCCCTTATCCAAAAACATGCATTTTAATTTAACTGGAGACTCCAGACTGCCCATAGGAGTGGATGTGAGTGTGTGTGGTTGTGTGTCTCTGTATGTACTGTGATGAACTGACCTCTGTAGGGTAAACCCTGCATCTCGCCCGTGGAGGCTCCAGCCCCTTTTTGGCCGAAGACCCCCGGCAGCCCTGCGAGGCATAAGCAGTGTAGAGAATGGAAGGATTGATGTTTGACACTGTTTACTTGTTCTAGGTCTGTTTATAGTTCCTTTTGTGTCTTGTCTTTTTGTGTCTTCTTCTGATTTCTGTCATTGTTCACCTCCTTCCTATGATTGGCTGTGTTTCTGCTATCTTGACTTTCATCAGTCTTCCTCTCACAAACTCAGTTCCTTTCAGCTGTGCTCCCCGTCACACCTGTTCTGCATCCACTACTCACTCTCTCCCATATTTAAGCTTCCCCCATTCACTCATTCATTTTAAGAGCCTGCTATTAACCAAATGCCATCTCTGAGCTCCTGGTTCCTTGTTCTTCTGTTTCCATGTATTTTGGTTGAGTGCAGTTCTCCTTAGTCTTAAGGTTTAGATTTCTGTGGATTTTGTGCATTTTGTTCTTTTTGTAACTAAATCCTCACTAAAAGTCAGTTAGGTCCTACGGCTGCATTTGGATTCTCCAATCCTCAAAATAACCGTCAACCACGACATAAAGAATATAGATAAGTCAAATAAGTGATTTTGAATAACTGTACAGAAAGATGGAACAGAGGACAGTTCTATTTTATTCAACATCCAGATTACAGTAAATATCTGCTCTAGGCTTTTGAAAAATAATGTCTAGTTCAGACCAATTAGAATCCAATTAATTTAGTTTCACAACATTGTCAGTCCTCCAACTTCTAAAATAATCTGAGCTTCTAAAAACGTAACTGTACTTCAAAGAAATAGATATGCTGAAGAGAGTGCAGACATAAAACAGCAATAAAAGCTCCAAACAGACCCCTGTAGCACCCTACAGTCTATAGGGAAGAACACCTGAAATTAACAGCAGTCAATGAGAATCAAGTCCAGATGGATAACAAGAAAACCATCCAAGGTACATACAGAAAGTCATGAGGGTTGAATATTGTCATGAAGTTATACTTAGAGAAAAGACCATTCATGGACAACCATCACAATTTTTCCACATTGTGACCAGATAAACTCAAACTTTAGACAAAACCCTGCTTTATCCAGTCAGACACCAGAACTCTTCATCTTTAGGTTTTCACCCAAATAGCTGCCTGCGTTTATCTTGTAGTATCATCACTCTGACATTGAACACTATTTCCTGTTTTCCTGTTACAGCTCAAACAGCTGATGGCTCATAGTTGTACAATAGCTCACAAATAATTTCTGGGAATATCTTCTCATAGATTTAATCCTAAACTGATGTTTCTAAGTTCTGTAAATAGACAAACAGAGAAAGTCCTACCTGTGTTATCCATCAGTCAGTTAGTGTGGTGGTTTAGTGTTAAACAGCAGGAAGGTGGAGGAACACCATCATGATATCAGAGATCCTCCCACTTTAAGGTCAGATGACTTCAGAGAAACAAAGCAGTTCGTCTCTTTTGGACTTTAATAACCTTCAGTTGTTAGCAGGTTTCTGCTCAACAGGTTTGTTTCTATTTAACAAGCTGCTCCTGAATTTGTTTATCTGACAGAAACTGACTTTATCTACATTTCACGCTTTGTGTGAATGTTGGATTGCAGATCTATGATTCCTTTGTCAAAACCGTAAATGTGTACAGTAACAACAAACCACAGCTCTCACGCAAGTGATGAACAGACACACCCTTGGTTTTTTTATTTGTTTTGCTTTTCCTCTTTAGTTGAGTTTGTTGCGGAACAACAGAAGCATCATCCATCCATCCATCCATTATCAACACCGCTTATTCCCTGTTGGGGTCGCGGGGGGAACTGGAGCCTATCCCAGTGGTCAACGGGCGAGAGGCAGGGTACACCCTGGACAGTCCCCAGTCCATGACAGGGACACACAGAGACACACAAGGACCAACAACCACTCACACTCACATTCACTAAGGGCAATTTCCCCAATCCAGAAGCATCATGTATGCTCCTTCTGTAGTCCCTCTACCTCTATC